AATATAACTTTACGATACACTTAATTTGAACAGTCGCGCTATAACAACGAACGTCTCACGTGCTCAACTTCAACAATACTCAATTCAATTACACACTCTCTGACTTGAGCTCAATTACTCATTATCTCTGTAGTCCCGTCACGTTGTGACAGTCTTATATATATATATACAAGACTAACACATATGTAGTAAATGCTAGGACATTCACGAAGGAATAGGTTATTTCTAGAAAACATGGAGTGATACTAGTCACGTGACCTCGCTGACGCAACAGAGTATAAGATGAAAGTGTTAGTAAGAGACATTTATTGTGAGTATGTCACAACTTGAGAAAAATGATAGATAAAAATGCATGTAAGTTACTCATGTGAATAATTTTATAAAATCAGATTTTTTTATTAAATGTCAAAATTCACGTTATAAAAAAATTCATTATAGTAGTTTCTTTGAATTGATTTTTGTGGACAGTTCCATTGTGAATGTTGCTAAATAGTATATTTTAATGTATAATAGTCTTTCATTGTTAAAATGAGGATGTATTTTTACCAAAAAATAGTATATTCTTCAAAATCTTAACAGAATTTTGGAAAATTTATTATATTTAGGTTTGGAAAACCCTTCAGACAGCAGAATGTTCATTGCTGGAAATTATAAGTAAGAAAGATTATGACTGCTCTTCATTATTTGCTGAAGAAAATAGTACCAGAAGTAATTTAAAGGAGATTGAAACAATTTCTCTGAAACTTCGAGCTGATAAACAGGAAACAGAAGAATTTTATCTCGGTGTAAGCACGTTTTTATAAAAAAAAAAGAACTTGTGAACATGATTATTTAATTATTACTAATGTTGACTAATTTTTTCTCAAACATAATAAACAAAATCAGATTTACTTATTAAAACATACAAATTAATTCCTGTGAGGACCTTCTGAAAATTATAAAGATTATTATAGCATTTATAGTGACACAGTTTGTTACATAAAATGTATTGAAAGCAATGGCATTTTCTACATTGTTTTTTGTTTTGGGAATGTTTTAGTCTTTAACTAAAAAATCATGACCTGCTTCAAAGTGCTAAACTGCAACAACAAGTCAGTGGTAGGCTTTCTGCAAGACACAATGTAACTTTATTTTTTTCGTTAGACTGAACTTCAAAAAATTTCTCTTTCTTAGAAATTTCAAAAGTACACCCTTGACAGCAGCTTGATAGCTCGACTACAGGTAAAAGCTGATCTTATGCATCAAGCAATAACGTATGAACCAGTAAATGGTAACAGACCACCTGCCAATCCAATACAAACACACATGTTGCCACATCAACCAAGGAAGAAACGAATTGGTCAAACACCAATTGTAGGGCAGCCAAAGCTTTTTGGTGGAAGTTTGGAAGAGTACTTATATGTAAGGGTTGTTTGAGAATTTTCTAAACATTTTTGTGTTTGAAATATAGTTAGTATTTTTGCCTATTTTAGAAATGTATGAACCAAGTTCAGAACAGTTTTTTATTATAAGCTTTTGTATCTTTTTTACATGAATAATTATCTTAATATCCCAAATAAGGAGTCAAAAATATTTAAAAATGGAGGACTTAAACCACGTTTTTTTTCACTATACCAGTTTTTTTCTCGACTATAATCTCAATTTAATTAAATGCTTAAGGACTGATGCTTTAAATTAACGCTTTTATCTATTATGAATTTATATGGAGGTGTATTTCGTAACAAGAAAAGTCGTGTTAACGCATCTATAGTACAGAAAACAGACTTACTTTCTTATATCTGTAACAGACTATGAACTTATTTTCTTATATCTCTAACAGGTTATGAACTTATTTTCTTATATCTGTAACAGGCTATGAACCAAGAAATTCCTCTTATTGTTCGCAGTTGCATCAGGTTCATCAATTTGTATGGTGAGTTACTTGTTAAATAAATAACAGTAAATACAGTTTTTATTACTCCTAATAAAATGTAATTAACTAGATTAGGAGATAATTTCTTAATTAAATAATTTTGCTTTAGAAATGTTGTGTGATATTATTGAAATTGCAATAAGAGGTTGTATTTTTTTTTGTTCCATGCTACATGAGATTGTGTTGACATACAATTTAATCTGTAACACTATAGTTAACAAAGTACTGGTCTATATGACCAGTATACATCCAAGAGCTCTGAGATATTCTTGTGTATATCTCTTGTGACATGTGAAAGTTTGCTCTTAAATATTCTAATTTATATTTACTCTAAATGTAACTTAAAAGATTGTATGAGACTTATATTTAATCTGACCTACATGAACCCATTCATTTAGACAAAAACAGAATACTTTTAAGCACCTATTTCTTGGAATCATAGTAGTTTATAATTGTAGTTTATGCCTTATTCTCCTGCATTGAATACCATTCTCTCTTTAAATCTACTGAAGATGTTATCAGATAAGGAGAATGTGCTTACAAATGTTGGTCTTTCTAGCTTATTTTACATTTTCAGGCTTACAACACCAAGGGATATTTAGAGTGTCTGGTTCCCAGGTTGAGATCAACAATTTTAAAGAAGCATTTGAAAGAGGTAAAATATTTTAAAGCAAATCATTTATGTATTGGTATGGTGCTAACTGAAAGTAGACACACAGAATACTTGTTTAGTAAAGAACACTGTATATTGTTATGTATCTTCTCATTTGTTAATTTCCAGTATAAATTCTTTCCAAGGAACTTCAGCAATACATGTCCTTTCTTTATTAAAACTAGTTTATTCTTTCTCGATACAACTTTTAGTAATACACAGAATTTCCACAGTCAATACGTTTGCAATCTCAACAACAAAACACACACTTTATATTTCCGTCACTACCATTCGCTTGACTCAAATATCTGTCTCTTTCTCTATCTATCTATGCCTCTGTAATTGTGCTGGTTTTTCTCGTCAGGCTTATATACTAAAAAAGAGGGCACCTCAAACAAACTCGGGCCTCCTCGATAATTCAGGATCCTTCCAGAAACTCCAGCCCACATGCTCCCAGCATCACACGACTTCTGCTATCGTAACAATATGTTACAAGGTAAAATATTTAATAAATAACACATATCTCCAATGGATTATATATGTACAATAAATTTTGGGACTTTTTGTCTTAGGAGAAGATCCACTAGTAGATGTGACAGACACAAGAGACATCAATACAGTAGCAGGAGTCTTAAAGTTATATCTGAGAGAGTTGCGAGAACCTTTGTTTCCAATCTTCTTCTTCGATCAGCTGATAGAAATAAGTCGTAAGTTATAGTGTATTTGACTCTTTCTTTTCTTTTCATATCTGAAAATAAAATATTGTTAGTGTTGAATTTCTAAGAAAGTTTGGTAGTTTAATAGCATGCCCTAGTAGTTAGCATGTCTGTATTGTGAATACAAGGATTCATGTTGGGTTTGTGACCAGTTACTGCAAAAATACACTCCACATTCTTAGACTGTAGATGTGCAATAAGAGTGACATTCAGATGAGAGTAACCTAAGAGTTGGCAATGGATACTGTTGACTAACTGTTTTCCTCTGAGTTGTCTATACTTTAAAATTAGGAAAGATAGGGTGTAGCATTACACAGAACTCTGAAAGAAATGAATTTTAATTAGCAATGTATTTTTTAATGTAACTATATTATGAATATCATTATGACATAACATTAAAGGGCAACAAGGGACCTTTTAGTCCATCTATGCTATCTTATCGACTAAATTAAACTAAACACTAAAAACTCAAAGCCAACTTTTATCATTCAAATATCTATCAAGCTTTCCCTTAAACTCTTTTGAACCAACTGCATTTACCACATTTGAAGGCAACCCATTCCAAAAGCCAACCACCCTGTTAGAAAAATAAAGCTGTCTGAGCTGAAAATAACTCCTACCCAACAAAACTTTGTATTTGTGTCTACTAGTCTTACTATTCCCACCATTAAATATGAAAAAAAAATAATGCATCAACACTATCAATTCCTTTAATAATCTTAAGTATCTTAATCAGATTCCCTCTAACTCTTCTTTTTTCAAAAGAAAACAGTTCAAAGATCTTAACCTGTCCTTATATGATAACCTTTTCATTCCAGGTATCATCCTAGTAGTCATCCTCAGAACGCTTTCCAACAATGTCCTTTCTTGTGAAAGCAGTGCAAGATTGAATAAAGTACTCCAAATGCGGCCTAACAAATGATCTATACAATGATATTATAACATCTTTGGATTTGTATTTATTATTTCTGTAGTTACAATCTAAAATCCTATTTGTTCTGCTTCTAGCAACAGCACATTGGTTGGATTGCTTAAGAGATTAATGGACCAAAATGCCCAGATTTTCTTCATCCATAACATTGTTAAGGTTATTCCCATCAAGACAATACTCATAATTCAAATTGTGATATCCCACGTGCATTACCTTGCATTTCTTATAATTATAAGTCCTCTGCCCATGGCCAGATGGTTAGAGAGCTCAACTCACAAGCTGTGGGTTGCAGGTTCGAATCCCCATCCCACCAAACATGCTCGCCATTTCAGATGTGGGAGTGTTATAATGTGATGGTCAATTCCACTATTCATTGGCAAAAAAGTTGTCCAAGAGTTGGCAGTGTGTGGTGATGACTAGCTGCCTTCCCTCTAGTCTTACACTGCTAAATTAGGGACAACTAGCACAGGTAGTCCTCATGTAGCTTTGCAAGATTGAATAAAATACTCCAAATGGGGCCTAACAAATGATCTATACAATGATATTATAACATCTTTAGATTTGTATTTTATATTTCTGGTATTACAATCTAAAGTCCTATTTGTTCTGCTTCTAGCAACAGCACATTGGTTGGATTTCTTAAGAGATTTATGAACCAAAATGCCCAGATTTTCTTCATCCATAACACTGTTAAGGATATTCCCATCAAGACAATACTCATAATTCAAATTGTGATATCCCACGTGCATTACCTTGCATTTCTTATAATTAATTATAAGTCCTCTGCCCATGGCCAGATCGTTAGAGAGCTCAGCTCGCAATCTGCGGGTTGCAAGTTCGAATCCCCATCCCACCAAACATGCTCGCCCTTTCAGCTGTGGGTGCATTATAGTGTAATGGTCAATCCCACTATTCGTTGGTAAAAGAGTAGCCCAAGAGTTGGTGGTGGGTGGTGATGACTAGCTGCCTTCCCTCTAGTCTTACACTGCTAAATTAGGGACAACTAGCACAGATAGTCCTCATGTAGCTTTGAACAAAATTCAAAACAAACAAAGTCCTCTGCCATTTATTTGCCCAACTTGCCAAATAATCCAAATACTTTTATAAAGCAGCAACATCCTCCTACAGCCAGCAAAACCTTAATATCATTAGCAAGTTTAAATAATTTATTGACTATTCCTTTGTCTATGTCATTGATGTAACTCAAACAGAGCAAAGTTCCTAAGACTGAGCCCTGAGATACCCCTCTTGTAATGTTAATCCAGTTTGACTGAACTCAATTTATAACAATTCTCTGCTTCTTCTATCCAGCCAGTTTTCTATCAAATGAGCCAACCTATCCTCCACACCCATACCTTCATCTACATAAGCAGTAACTTTTCAAAGAGTGTCAAATGATTAGTATGGCAAAATTTATCCCTAGTGAAACCATTCAGACTATCCAACAAAATTTTAAACTTTGTTAAATGACTTTGCAAAGCAATTTTCATTAAACTTTCAAAAACTTTTCCCACCACTGATGCAAGATTAATAGGCCTTGAAAAAAGGAGTAATATTAGCCAACTTCTAGTCTTCTGACAACTGCCCAGTATTCAAGAACTTGGAAAAAATATTAGAAAATTGCTTACATATCCAGTCCTTGACTTCTTTCAAAACCCTTAGTAAATATTATCTGGCCCAGAAGTTTAGCATTCTTTAACCTTCCCAATTTTTTTCTCAAAATTAATGTGATTATCTTGTTCAGTCTTGTTTCCATCTAGCAATTGTTCAGAATTAAGAACATTACTTAAATTTTGATTAGAATAAACTGATGCAACAATAAAATTCCCAGCTATCCCATAATCATCATTCCACAAAGGCCCTACTCCTGTCCTAACATTTTCCTCAACCTTAATTTATTGGAAGAAATCCTTACAATTAATCTTTACATTTTCAGCCAACCTGTTTTTCCTCAACTTTTTTGATTTTCTAGTTTCCTGTTTGATCAGCATTCTTGATCTTCTATAATTCCCCAGGTCTCCTATCATTGCAGTGAATTTAAACTTCTTATATTTAAAATGCTTTTCTTTAATTTTATCCTTTATATCCTTTGTGAGCCAATCTGGTTTTACTTGCTGCCACCCATTTTTGTTTATAAGGAACATGCATATTTTGAGTACTTAACAATTTATTTAAATTTTTTTTCCACATCTGATCAGTGTCTTCAACTAATTCACTTGCTAAGTTCACAGCGGATAATTCATCTCTTCAAAATTTGATTTTTTTGAATTTGGAACCAAAATATCATAATTTGCCATATACAACAAAAGATCAAATATAATTGAGCAATGATCACTTGCATCCAGATTGTTAACCATTTCGTTATTAGAAGTTAAGAATAATTCCAATACAGTTCTTTCCTTCTCTCACGAGATTAGCTATTCTCATTCAGTGCTTCCCTTATTATACAAACTTTTTTTTATGCATGCCATAAGACTTTTGCTCCCCCCCCCCTATTGGAACTGTAATATTCCAACATGTCTCTCATGTAACTCATCATGCATCACCTCCTCACCAATAGGAGCATGACATGCTCACGTGATGCATGTGACTCCCTCTAAACTCCTCTACTGTTTGGATGTCCTCTTTTGTTTGTTTAATGCTTCACATTTGATTTTGTTTCCTCATGAAGTGGTTGTTTTTTAAAGTAATTTGCTTTCATTCAACCTGTTTTTCTATTAGTATTTATCAGTTAATTCTAGTTGCCTTATTTTCTGCACTAGAATATGGTGAATCTTTCTGTGCAGTGAAGTCTGAAGTAAATGTTATCACTTCAGGGGTTACACCAGTGACCAGCGTTTTTCTCAGACCTCAGGTGTGGGTGACCCAATGGTGGATTTATCTGTTTTTTTATACTCCAAGAGATCGATTGTTACATCACCCAGGCTCCTCCAGAACAGGCTGATCCTTTTTCCACCTCCAGATTTTGCCATTCCTTCCCATTCCCACCCTGATGAGTCTACTATGCCTAATGCAGTCTTTATGGATTTTGTGTCTCAGGTTTGTGACATTTTATCCTTTTCCCCTATTTCTTATGCACCTTGTCTTTCCTTACTGCATAAACAATCTTCCCAACCCTTTTTGGTTTTTCCTCCCTCATCTGATATTCAAGTTCATGCTGATCACTTTGCCTCACAATTAAGCGAGGGGATTAACATGCCATGGACCCCACAGACTTCAGATCAGTTCACACTTTCCTACCATCCTGCTGACTATCCATTTTTAGACCAATAGTTGTTATATTCTTTTTACCTACTTGGGGGACAGCTCCAGAATCAGCTGCCAGTCTTACCCATGCCAATATTCTCGCTTGTGTCTCACCCTTACAAATGTATTATGGTATCTTTCTTCCATACACCTCCTATCTGAGGCTCTTCACAGAAATCCTGAGGGATTTTCTGGAAACACCCTTGCTTTTCTCTACTCCACTTTAGCCTGCATGTCTTCTTTGGCTCTAGCATCTCATATGCTCCAGCATCATATATGTGGTTTCTTTGTTATTGGAACCTTATAGGTTGTGATGCTATGTTGGCTCTGGTCCATTTATCCTCGACATATCTTGGGTATTTACGTATGGCCCAATTTCTCAGACGTTGTGTTTGATTCAGTCCCAGAAAATATAGAGCCTCAGATAACATCAGTTCAACAACAATCAACCCTTAGAAATATTGTAGTATATTTCTCTCACTCAGAGACTCATATGCCACGAATTACCATTTCTTGCCCTTACTCTTCCCAGCTCTTAACTATCCCTTCTACTTGGGGAACTTCTTCTCATAGTTTCCTGGATGATGCACTCCCCATTGTCACCAGTACAAGTGACTACCCAGTGGGTTCTAGTCTGGTGGGGCTCATCTGTTTGAGTTTCTTCATCACTGGCATTCCTTGTTTAGTGATCAATGGATGCTTCAGGTTCTGTCAAAAGGATTCATTGTCCAGTTTCTTTCTCCACATCCTATCTCTCCTTACCCCATTTCCTTCCCTCCTCCTCGAGATCCTGTAACCAATCATTATCTGTCAG